CACTGTAGAAGCTATCCTGTGAATCTGCATCATCCAAAATATTTGACACTAGACCCTGTAGATCACTCTCACCACCATAATCAGCATTTTCAGGGGGTTTCCTTAAAGTAACAGAAAATAAATTCTTAGGAAATAACAACTAGCCGTTTTGATTGAACAAGCATTGCTGCATAGCAATGAAACTGCTTACAACTTCATTTAGGTGAATACCTGCTTTTAATGCTGGGCTGGGCACATCTAATGAGTTCATAAGGATCATCCTGAGTAGAATAAGACCAGGGCATATAGGATGCAGTGTCCTGTTCCTGCTGTGACACACTGGGGATGGAAATGAAGGGTATTGCTACCGTACTGCCATTTCCACCTCCCGCATTAACACCCACCTGAAACAAAGAAAATCCAATCTCATATAAGGCAAACTAATGCAAATTACACCACTTAAGCTAAAACTTTCACAGACAATTTTAACTCTGTAAAAATACGGAATTTAAATTATTTCAAATAATTACATTTGAAATGATAATGTTAATTTATTTGCCAGTTTTTGAACTAAAATATATTGGCAAAAGCCTAGCAGCGTTTTCAGTGGGTGTTGGAGTGAGAGGGTCGCCTCTCGTTTCCAATCCTGTTCTTGAGTTTCATCAACAGGATCTCAAAGCATAGCCGGGGGGGGGGGGTCACTCACTTTGGGAATCTCATATTATACCACAGAGAATTTTTGCAAGGTCAAAGCGTGACCTCCCGCGTACACTGGAGCAGTTTGCAGCAAAGCATGAAATGGCTGCAATGAGAATCACCACCTCCAAATCTGAGGCCATGGTTCTCTGCTGGAAAACGGTGGTATGCTCCCTCTGTGTTGGGGGAGAGAGGCTGCCTTAAGCAAGGTTCAAGAAGCAAGTATCTTGGGATCTTATCCACAAGTGATGGGAAGACAGAGTGCAAGTTGGACCAGCAGTGTGGCATCAGCAGTACTAGACTGCCTAATGAACAAAGAGCTTTTGATTTACCAATCTATCAATATCCCAACCTTCATCTAGGATCAGGTAATCTGGATATTGACCAAAAAAGTGAGGTCATGAATACAAACAGATGAAATTAGTTTCTTCCATATGGTGGCTGGGCTCAGACTTAAAAGACAAGTTAAGAAGCTCAGACGTCCAAAGGAATTCCTGGAGTAGATCCCCTGCTCCTGCATGTCAAAAGGACCCAGTTAAGGTGGTTGGGCTGTGTAACGGAAGGTTTACAAGTACATCCAACTGGGAAGAAACCCCAGGGTAGACCTATTTATTTGACAATTTTAAAACATCTCTATGCGATACAAGGAACTTAAAAAAGAAAGAAAGAAAAACTTCCAAGAATTGCAAGCACAACTTTAGAGATCATAATTAAAACATTGTTTCATTCCTTAGTGTGGTTCTAATCTGAATTGAAAAAAAAAAAAAAAGAAAAAAAAAAAAAAAAAACCTTTGGGATGAACTGCATTTTTTCCTTTGTCCCATAACACAAGTTAACCAATATGGTTAACTATGGAGGAAAAAAATGATCATCAGTGAGTTGGCCTATCATAAACTCTTAAGAAATGGAGATATTTCAAATATGCAAAGTACCTTAGCCTAAATTACTGCTTATTCCTGCTTACCTGACGTTGATAGCTGTGGAAGAGTGAATTTGCAAATGCGCTCTGACGTCCATCAAACGCCATTCTGAACTCCCCTTTGGTTCTTCAGTACTCGGTTACAGCTCTGGCAATGTACAAAGGACGAAACATTTTTATAAAGCTTTGCATAGTAAATTAAGACATTTGGCAGATATGGAAAATACATTAGCAAACTACTTTTTCGGGAAAAGGCAACTTTTCAGCTAGCCAACTTAGCAAACTTAACTAGCCGTTTATGTAACTGGATAAGCTAGCAAACTTTGATGATGACTTTGCTAATTTAACCCGTAACTTTAGCCTAACGCTTTTACCAGTAAATTTTTTCTAATTTTATTTTATTTTTTAACTTTTTGGTCAGCAAAATGTACCGTTTAAAGTTACCTACCCGCATTTAGTCAAACAAGACGAACTTAAGGCGTTTCAACAGTTTTCTCGACAATCATCGCCTTAATCCCTCTCGTGCCGTCCTCAAGTCCACCCAGGAGATGTTCGATGTTGCCCTCGCGACCTGAAAGCACATTGGCTGAGGCTGAGGGATTATACTTTTACTCCAATTAACATCAAGCAGAAAACAAAGGGGCATAGCAACATGTAGCGGCATCCCCTCCCCCATAATTTATACCATGGTGTGGCATGGCAGGTGCTAACATAAAAAAACACCTTACACAGAAACTGTGTATAAAGGCTTTATAGGCTATGTTAAGCAGAACATGTAAATACTATCTTTATTATAATAATCATTTCTTCTAATATAAGTGGTAGTAGTCAGTTTTAGGTCTGCAGTTTGTTCATTAAATTAATTTTAAAATGAAGATATTATGATCTTAGTACATACAAACAAACTGAGTTACTGATGGACACTTGAAAGTGACACGAAACCCTTCTCCTATCTACATTTTAGTTTAAGGGGCGCTTGTAAAGTCTGTTCTACCACACCACTCCAGCTGTGGAGTCAATTTCAAAGCGTCTCAAAATGCAACCAGTAGACAAGAAAGTGTTCCTTCAAAATAAGAGCATGCGCATTCTAGTGGGCCTAAACGGAACAGAACCGATTTTGGTCGACAAAAGAACCCCCAAATTTGTAATCCATGGGTGCAGGTTGTTCAGGTCAGATATTGAACCCTCTTAATCCATGCAAGAATGTGGGTCCGAGATAAAAATAAATAAATAAATAAATAAAAAAAACCATTATAATTTAGAATAAAAAGAACATTGTTAAAGTATTGTTAAAGTTGTTAAAGTAAAAGTACCCATTATGAAGTTCTTATTTTCTGCAAGGTTGTTGTTGATTTTCTGTCTTAATTGTGTATAACAATAAGCGATAACAATAAAGAAAATTAAAATGAACTTAAAATAAGACTCAGATTGTGCAAAAGAGCATATTACACATATCCCATAAATCATACACACAGACAACAATGGGAATGTAGAATAACAAATAAGCCTGATAGAGAATCAGCCCTGCTGCCTCCACAGTGAAGAATGGAGCAGGTGAAATGGATTGTCCATGATAATAATACATGTGTTCAGTCACCCCCTGTCACTTCCTGACTCAAATGTCTCCAGAGTCTCTGGCTGTGTCCCAATTAAGAGACTGCACGCTTGAAGTACGCATTTTAAGTGCGGTTACGTCACCGCCACGCGACGACGGCTGTCCCAATTCGAAGCGTATGCATACTCCAAATGCGCCGTCGATTTCCCCAAATATCAAGCGTGGTCCGGTGCACACTTCGTGGTCCCATATATCCCACAATTCATAGCGCGGCGGTGGGTGTGGATAATTTTGCCAGAAAATACGGCAGAAGGGAGCAGCCGAAGAGGTTGTTTTTTTTCCCCAAACTATTGAAATCATAAAGCGAACAGTCAGTCATTCCAGTTCAGTTTGTATAGTAGACATACAAGGCAAATAAGAGTAACAATATACAGTACAATGAAATAAGAAGGAGAAATAAATAAAGGAGAAAAAAAGAAAGGGGGGGGGAATGTGTCAGACTTCATAGCAACTTTGTACTTGAAAGTTGTGACAGCTCATTCGTTAAACATTTCTGAATGAATTTCAATCAATGATAAACCTTTTTTATTGGAAGTTAATTTAAGAGAGTTTAAGTAATATTCAATTTCAATCAAAAACAAATTAAATGATGGGGTTGAGTTTTGAAATTTACATTTATGTATATGGAATTTCCCTAATAAGATGGAGCGGCCGAAGAGTGAACTGTCAAAAGTACTGAATATGACGTCACTTATTTATGTGCGAATGTTTAATAATTAAAGTCAGTCATATATCCACAAACACAACAAGCTGAAAGTCAGTGATATATGTATATGTGTATCAGTATATAATGTACTATATATATATCATAATAATCTGCAATACTATAATATTGGCCATATTATATTTACATTACCACAGTGAGATGACTTTAGTCTCATGAACAACATTAACTAATTGTTATTTACTAACTAATCTTAAATGACTGTTCAGCACAGAAATGAAGCCCAACAATCATGTTTTACAGTCCTGTGGTCTCAGCCTCAGATACTCAACTAATCAAAGTGATGTCATGACAAAAATGAATGACAACAAAACATTTTTCTCCTTCATTTCTGTCAAACAAAGCTGTATGTAACGTGTCTCGCGGTTAGTATCATGGTTGCTAGGCAACCTGAACAGCGCGACGAAGCGTATACCGTCCCATTTCACAAGCCTCTCACTTCCGCACTTCTCGTACTTATAGTACGCACCGTACGTAGTACACGTAGTGCGCGTACTTCAAGCGTGCAGTCTCTTAATTGGGACACAGCCACAGGCTCTGATGCCACAGGTGCCATTGAATAGAATAGAATAGAATAGAATAGAATAGAATAGAATAGAATAGAATAGAATAGAATAGAATACTTTTATTTGTCAATTTCTTCAAATGTACTTGCCATACAAAGGAATTGAAATTACGTTTCACACTGTCCCATGCGTAGACATTGACAACAATAAGGTGCAGATGCACAACAAAAACAGCCCTAACAATAAGGTAATAAATAGTAATATAATAATATAAATAGTGCTAAAAGAAATACTAAAAATATATATATAGCAGCAGGTGTGTGCAATTGCAATGCAAGTCAGCTTAGATTGTCTGCCTTCAACCTTCAACCAAAGCTACGATTATGATTATGATGCTGATTGTTACTGATGATGGTGGTCATGGTGTTGGTGCGGGTGTTAGGCATTAAAGCAAAAATATCTGAGACTCGAGTATTTTCCTTCAAAATCATATTGGGATTTTATTGTGAAAGATTGTACCGGATGTTGTGGCGTATTTCTCACTAACGCTGGCCCGAAGGGAATTTGAGTATTTAGAAGAGAAAAAAGTCAGCCAGCAGTGTTTAAGCAGAGACTAAGCAACAAAGAGAGGAGCAACTTTGCCCCCCTATAGAGACTTACTGTTACTGGAGAACTGATAATACGAAGGAGCTCACTAGATAAATTTACAGCGACTTTATCAGGCTGTAGTTGATACTTAAACTTGGGAAGATGCGTTTTTGCAAAACTTTTTTTCTTGCGGTCCTGCTGCCCCTGCTGATATCAGCACAGTATCAAGGCGACAACGGAATAGTTGTCCCGGAACATGGATTTTGTCAGCCGATTTCGATACCTCTGTGCACGGACATTGCTTATAACCAAACCATCATGCCCAATTTAGTGGGTCATTCCAACCAGGAGGACGCAGGGCTCGAAGTGCACCAGTTTTACCCGCTCGTGAAGGTACAGTGCTCGCCAGAGTTGAAATTCTTCCTGTGTTCCATGTATGCGCCTGTTTGTACAGTTTTGGAAAAGGCCATTCCTCCATGCAGATCGATTTGTGAGAGGGCCAAGCAGGGCTGCGAGGCTCTTATGAACAAGTTTGGCTTTCAGTGGCCGGACCGATTGCGCTGTGAAAACTTCCCTGTGCTGGGAGATGGACAAATCTGCGTGGGCCAAAATGACTCCTCCACTGCCACTGTCCCTCCGGTTATATCTGTTCCAGGAACGTCGGATGTCTCCATAATCCCCCCACGTGGAAGGCCATTCCATTGCCCGTCTGTTCTTAAAGTTCCCCCATATTTGAATTATAAATTTTTAGAAGAGAAGGACTGTGCCGCTCCCTGTGAGTCATCTAGGAGCGGTGGGAAAATGTTTTTCAGTGATAAAGAAATTCATTTCTCGCGCATATGGATTCTAGTTTGGTCTGTGCTTTGTTGTGCATCTACGTTATTAACAGTAACCACTTATTTAGTTGACATGCAACGCTTCAGATACCCAGAGCGGCCCATCATCTTCTTGTCTGGCTGTTACACTATGGTCTCCATTGCCTACATAGCAGGCTTCTTCCTCGGTGATAGGGTGGCGTGCAATGACAGCTTCACCCCTGATGGCTATAAGACCATAGTCCAAGGCACCAAAAAAGAAGGCTGTACTATCCTCTTCATGATGCTCTATTTCTTCAGCATGGCCAGCTCCATATGGTGGGTCATTCTATCGCTCACCTGGTTCCTGGCTGCAGGTATGAAATGGGGCCACGAGGCCATTGAAGCTAACTCTCAGTATTTTCACCTGGCAGCCTGGGCAGTGCCAGCTGTCAAGACCATTAGCATCCTGGCCATTGGGCAGATTGAAGGTGATGTGCTCAGCGGAGTCTGCTTTGTGAGTCTCAGCAACCTGGATCCTCTACGGGGCTTTGTTTTGGCCCCTCTCTTCATTTATCTTTTCATCGGCACCTCTTTCTTGCTGGCTGGCTTTGTGTCACTGTTCAGAATCCGCACCATCATGAAACACGATGGCACCAAGACGGAGAAGCTGGAGCGATTAATGGTACGGATCGGGGTGTTCAGCGTGCTCTACACGGTACCTGCCACCATTGTTATTGCATGCTTCTTCTATGAGCAGGCCTTTCGGTCCCACTGGGAGCACAGCTGGGTCAGCCACAACTGCAGGAGCCTGGCCATTCCCTGCCCTATGCATCCTGGACCCCACATGACACCAGACTTCACCGTCTTCATGATCAAATATCTGATGACTCTGATAGTGGGCATCACCTCTGGTTTCTGGATCTGGTCTGGAAAGACTCTGAACTCCTGGCATAAGTTTTACACAAGGCTGACAAATGGCAAACACGGAGAGACCACTGTGTAGAGTGAAAGCACATGTGTTGCTGGGATTATTATTTGTTTTATTATCTATACCTCATGTCATAGGTAAGTAGCACAGTGAGTAGCTGTAGCATTTGTGTTTGCCTCAGCTTTCTAGTCACACTTGCATGCCAAACTGAGGGTTGGATTTTGAGAAAAACACAAGCTGTATAAACACAGACTGAACCTGACTGTGTGAACAAATAACAATCATGGCTATGGATGCCATGTGCTGATTGCTCTCCACACCTTCTCTGGTTCCTTTCTTAAAGCCTCCATAAACTCTGGGGAGTGATGATCCAGCAGACAATAGAACACAGAATGAATGACTGATTTGAATTTTTTTGAACTCTTGCAAAAACATTTCATGTACAGTTTTACAAAATTGTAAATAGTATTTGTAAAAACACAACATTATATTATTGTATTTAAAAAGTAAATACTTTACCTTATCTGCTAGTGTACTCAAACTAAGTAATTTTGCACTGTATGAATGCCACAAGTCCAGACAAAGACATGCCTGTTTTTTGTTCTTTTTGCGTTTTCTTTTCTGTTAATTTGTGATTATAGATTAGAACATTGTGTTATTATTCTTAATTTACAGAAAACATGTGCAGAGTCTCTGCAGAATTTACAGATATCAACTCATGACTATGAATTTTGAACTTGTGGTTAGACAGGAACATCATGCTTTGTGTGAGGTTTTTTTTTCTCATCTTTCTGCTCTTATATGTGTTCAGTATTGTTTTAATAATTAAACCCTATTGTTAACGTGTGATTTTCTTTCATTCAAGCACAGCCACATTGTTTTCTCAAGGGGTGAGGGTTGTATCACACCTGAACATCTGTTGCCTCAGACTGATGGGCAACAGTTAAAGTGATTATTGAACACAGAACTATCCCCCAGGGAAATACAAGGAATCCACGTACATTGAGCCTGTCAGTATAAACACAATTCGCCTGTTAATCACTTACTCTGTCAGTAAATTGTAAAATATTTAACATCTGTGTGTGTGAGTGGGGGGGGGGTTGTGCCTAAGCAACTAATGCCACCATGTAAGAATGCAGCAGGGAACATCTTCACACATGTACATTAACATTGCGTTCGAGTGCTGAACAAAAACAAGAAACTTTTTTTTTTGCCTGTTGTGTAAACTAATGGGAATCTTCTGGCAAGCCAAGCCTGTGCTGTTGCATATGTGTGAAAATGTTCCCGCTTGTGCGGTCGGTGAAGGCGGAAGAAAAATATTCAGATTTGCTGTTGTTACTTCTCTGGACTCTCTGTGTATTGTAGCAAGTTGGAATCCCCCAAGCTCCTTATGGCTGAAACTCAATCGTCTCTGCAGTGATGTCATGAAGTAGATGGATGTGTAAGAGAAAGCTGATCCCTGTGCCTCAGAGCAGAAGCTCTTGGCTAGAGGCATGCATATAGTGTATGCATATAGTATATACTGTTAGTGAGTGAGTTAGTGAGTTAGTCTGCACCTCTCTGGATAATGTTCTAATTTGAGTTACCTTTTCAACTTATATCACGACCAATGGGTTGTTATATTTATTTGATGTTTGTCTTTTTTATATCCTCACCAAGGGTTTAATAAAGACGGGTTGTAATAACAGATGGGTAAGAGTGATTAAAGGTAAGAACAGAGACTCTAAAGGGGGGGAAAACCATAAATCTACCTGCCTCCTCTATTCTGCCCTTTTACACCCTCTATGTCTCCACCCTCCCTGCCGCTCTCCGCTCAGATGAATGGGGGGAATGTGAGTGAGTCAGTGGAGCAGTGCTGGGCCTTTGCCTAGTGACAGACAGTCTCCTGTGCTGCTCACTTCAAAGTGCCGCTGAAACCTGACAAGCTTCATGTAAACAGTACTGCCTGGCCCGAAGGCCCACTTCCTGCGCTATATTCAACTTAATGGCTGGCTTGTTTGGCTTTGCACTGAAGCAGAGAAACGAATGAAGTGTGAGAGAATGAAGAGAGGCGGTATGTGGGTGGGGTCCTAGTGGTGAAGAGAGTGAGATTGTTTTAGGATTTAGGGGAGGAGGGATTTGGAGAGCGTGATGGAAAATTCAGAATTATTTGGTTGCTTTTGTCTTGCAGAGGGGGGAAAAAAAACAAAGAGAGAAAGAAAATGAGAATCCAAATGAGGAGAGACATAATTCTGATTTGGCAAATATTCTGAGAACAAAAACCTTTGATCGCAAACCATCAAAACTAAATAGAATCAGATGCTGCTCCTAGTAACTTGTCCCACAAAATAAATTGTAAAATATACTCTGTGAGTAAGTCTTTAATGTTTTCTATGCCCAGTCCTATCTGGGGTAGTTCAATACAGATTCTACTTGGTGAACTTCACAATCTCTATCCATGGAGAGAACAGTTTAAAAATGTGAAGCATTAGTTGGAGTTTTATGCCTAAAACTTTAACTTTATGCATAAAACTGTTAATATTATCTACGCAAGCGCTGGTAACTATCCAGAGTAAATTCTGCTCTTTAATGTTGTTTCCACGTTTCTCGGAAGCTGCAGTCTGTTGTTGGTCTCTGATCTTAAATCTTGCATGCAGTTGGTTCCAGCTTGCTTGGGGGCAAGAAGGGACAAGTCAAGGATCATGAAGACAGGAAGAATGTTTCTAGAGTTGATATTATGGTGTCGCTCCTATTAGACGAAGGTCTAGGCATGTCGGAAAAGGATCGTGTTGTTAGTCAGTGTTCTCACAGGTTCTGTAGATCCATCTTTTGAGCATGCTCTAATGTACTATGAACATTTTCTTAGCTTGTAACTTTTTATCCAGCCTGTGAAAGTGCTTCAACCAGACAAAGGACTAAGAAAAAGAGGAAAATGGTTAGAAAAAAAGGAAAGGAAGAAAAAGGGATCCAGACATGTAGTAAGCCTGTTTCTAATCAAATCTTGGCACAAAATCAAGAAGGAACCCATGCTCAGAAGGCTGGATTAGTTGCAGTCATACATTATCCTAACCATAGGAGAGTAGCTGAGGTTTTCCAGAGCACATACTCTATCTATTTGTCTTATATTGCCTTGAAGTCTCAAGAGGACATGCCATATGTTCTTTCTCCTCATGCCATTTGCTTTCAGAGTGGAATCAAGTGTAACAAATTGGCAGAAATATGATGGTTTAAATGTGTATTTCAGCTTCTGACTTTGATTCAGGGCTTCCAGCCATAAAGGGTCACTGTAAAGAGGTGTCTTTCTTTTGGTCGTCTTTAAAATCATTTTCTAATTGCTGACTTTTTTCCCCCTCATTGTTACCTCACAAGCCATGATATTTGAAGAACTACATTACTTAGTACAAATAACTTTGCTGATTTAAAAAAAGTAATTTAAAATATCCATTTACTTTAATATTAATATGGTTATTACACCACCCACAACCATGGATTGAAAAGTGAAAGGCTGTGGCACCCACGATGTGGGACGGAGAGATTTTGCCAGTCTTTCCTCCCTACTGCTGTTAGACTCTACAACATGGTCTCTGCAGAGGACCACACACAAAAATCTCATACAGATTTGTAACTCTCACCCTGTTTCCTGGATGTGCAATTTTCCCTATGTAACAAAGTATTTTATTCTATTTGTATAGTACTTATCCCACTGTATATAGTGTTCTTTCTATTTTGTATAGTATGTTATTCTGTTTATCTTATTCTATTATATTATTTTTCTCTTAATTTTTTACTGCTCTTGTACTTCTGCCGTGACCAAAAATTTCCCATGTGTGGAACTAATAAAGGTTTCTTTTATCTTATCAGTGAAAGGAGATGATAATGGGGTCTGTAGGCATACATCATTTCTAACAAGATGTCCAGCTCTTCTTATTAGCGATCACTACACTTTGTTGGTTTCCAAATCGCATTGATTTGGTGAACACAGTTAAAACTAGAAAGTGTACCCGCCTTTACTTTCTCGTTGGCTGATTTTTATTGACATGTATCTATGTGCTATTGTATGCTCATAAGCGCACAGACAATGCAAAGGTGGCTTTGACAAGAATTCAAACATAAACTGTTGATACTGACACTGGGATGTTGGGGGAGTTTATTTAGTCCCCTGCCTTCAAGGACAAGGGTGCAGAATCAGTGTAGAAAGTAGGGGAGTGGCTCAGAGCCTTTCCAGCTGCCGAGCAGAGAGGTGCCGACAGCTGCATGACTGATATTTTGGGAGCCTGCAGTAGGCCTGGGATAATAATGGTCTTGATTGGGAGGAGTGTGTTTGAAGTAAAAGGAATGGTTAATGTGCATCTAGACACCACACTGTGTACACAACCATGTCTCTCTCATAAACTGTCAGAATGATGGTACAAGTAGCAAATGATAACACACACAGTGTTAGGGACTAAAGCACAGGTTTTTCTGCTACTGTGTTGTGTGTTTTTTTCCACAGCTGAACATATTTATTTTTGTAAAGTTGCAAATTTCAATGTTATGGAGACTATGAATGTACTCACAATGTATGCACACGATAAAGCCCAAAAATATAAATTTGTGTTACAAAACTTGTGGTCCTGTCGCCAGGCAGACAGCTTTACACAGATCTAGACAGGGCCCACACCACTTAGAGCTTTAAAAACCAACAATAAAATCTGAACATCAAATCTAAAACTAACAGGTAACTACTGAAATCGTGCAAAGGACTGGTGTAATGTGGTCGCTCCTTTTGTGTTAAAAGCCGTTGGAGCATCATTCAGAGTTGACTGCAGTCTGTGTATGGTATGGTAACTGATGCCTGAGTAAAGTGCGTTGCAGTAATCAATTCTAGAAGAAATAAGATCACGAGTGACCTTCTTTAAATAGGACTGCAACAGGAATGGTACAATTTTTGATTTCTGTCAAAACTGAATGAAACAGGACATCATGATATGTCATCATCAACATCATATCTTCAAATTGCAAGCCTCTTTGCAAATATTTTCGAGACATAGACCAGAGCTATGGGAGGAAGGTGCAGTTATGATTATTTCATTTTTTTTAGTCATTCAGCTAAAGGAAGTTTTTAGACGTCCAGATTCTAACTTCTTCTACACAAGACCTAATGTATAAGTTATCAATAGTACCAGGTTGAAACATAGAGTTGTGGATTGTTTGCATAGCAATGAAAATCTATACTGTATTTCTGAAGCATTCGTCCAACCAGAAGTATGTAGGTTGTTTAAAAAATGGAGGATCAAAGACAGATCCCTGGGGGACTCTGTAAGAAAATAGTGCATAAAAAGAAGAGGCATCACTGATCCTTACGGAGAATGACCTGCTAGAAAGATATGAAATGAACCAATCCAGCGCTACATCACTGATGCCAACAGTTTTTTCAAATGGCTCACTAACATATTGTGATCTGCAGTATCAAAAGCTCGGATAAAATCAAGCAGAATTAAGACACAACCAGCCCAGAGTCAGATGTGAGCAGCAGATTATTAGAGACCTTGACAAGAGCTGTTATCATGTAAGTGCAGCCCAGACTGAATATATAATATATATAAGATAAAAGTGGCAGTTTGAACCCATCAAGTTTTAAATGATTGAGTCTGGCCCAGAAAGTGTCAAAGGTGTTAAAACCAAGTCCAGCGGCAGAAGGAAAACTCTTCATCCAGCTATGCAAGTAAAAGAGGTGACTAAAGAGTTCGGAGCCTCTAGTTATGACAGAAATGGTGCCAGACAAAACACACATCCTTCCCAAGCTTTCTATGGCAGTGGTTAAAGACTCTAGATCATGCTGACAGAGATAATCAAGACAAGAAGTCATTTAATTTAATAGAGCTCAGTCTTTAGAGAGAGGAGAGAGCTCTGGGAGTGGGTATTTTTATGTCACTTCCTTTGCTTCCATGGAGTCAGCCATTTTTTGGATGCTGCGACAGCCAGCCAAACAGTATTATAGAGATCTCCAGCATGCACTATTGCCTCGTTATTTATTTATTTTTCTATTTTAAAAGCTCTTATCTGTTTCACACACAGATAAATATCAACATTTCTGTGCTGGAAAGTTCCCTGTGCCTTAAAACCACAAGTGATACACATTTACAGACCGCTTCCCATAGCAGCAGTTCACAGGGTATCACCAAGAAGTAAAAGTAAAAGAGATTAAAGATTCTTCAAATTGATATCCTTCAAATTCATTAGAAGTTGAGCGAGCTCTGCAGTACGGACCCCTGGAAAAAAATCACTGCGACTATCAAACCATGCTGATGTGATGTTATAGCTTTGGTACTCTGAAAAGATGACGTCACTTGAAAAAGTGTGCTTTCAACATCTCTCTGGAACACAGGCTTTTCACTATGTTAGTGTCACAGGACAAGCCTCTAGTCTGACACAGCACTCACCTATCTTGTTATGAATGTAAAGATGCTGCTGGATACTCTGGAATGAACTTTTAGTGTCAACTCCATACTTACAATTTCACTGTATTAATTATCTTATTTTGGAACTGCTATCCGATCAGTCTTCTCACCTCTTATAGTTTAAGAATAGAGCAATCACAAATATGACTTGTTCTTTTTTGGTATTTAAGCTTCTTTTTGTTCCATGTCTTGTAAAAACACTTGAGGCAGTTTAGTCCTATTCAGCAGGGGGCTACGGTGAGTCTAAAAAGCCACATAATGCAACAGCTGTTGAAGTAACCGCAGCTTTTAATTGACAGGTCAATTAACCCCCTACAGATAATTCACAAGGCAGCAAAATCACTCTTATTGACCCATTAATGAAACATGGCAGCACTCTGAGCACCTGCATCTAAAGATAAACTAAATTTATTGAAGAGAATGAGATGGCAATACTCTAATCTAATCTATTACTCTCTCATGAGCCTCAGTAGGGCCTCAGGCTTCAATGACGACTTCTTGAGTCGGCTCCTCTCTGGCGAGTGCCGCCCCCCTTATTTTAATGGAGGCCCTCCTAACAACTCTTTCTGAGGAATTTACAGCCTTGGCCGATTCTCACTCCAGCCCAGGGCTGGGAAGGTGGGGTGGAAGTCATGCTGTGGCCTTGTACCAAAAGAGCCAGCAATGGAAATGTAAAGGCAGGGTGGCAGCAGAGCTTGAACATGAATGTTTCTGTGCTACTTAACTCAAAAATCAGCCACACAGGGGTCCGCGTGTATTTAATACATCAATGATAGAAAAGAAATACATGAAATAACACCACCTTAAGTCTCCAAGAACTGTAAGGATAAATGCTAAGATACAAAAAACCAAAAAGATTGCAATTTAGACCCTCTCAAGTATACAGCTTTTGATGCCAGTCAGTCCAATATGTGAAAAGGAAGGGATACTTTTAAACCTTAAAGCACAAAACAAGCATATTTTGAGCCTCACAGCTGAAGTTAATTCTTTCACTGTACGTGTGTTCACTATTGTGCTTGTGAATATGTGAGTAAATCTGTGTGAATGAGTGGCTGTTGGAAGGCTCCAGTTCTGTAGGTTCTCTCTGTAATTTCACTCTCTGCTCAGCATAATCACTTCCATGTGGGCCCTCTCCAACAACAGAGTGTTGAAGGGGCCCGTTGCAAAGGTGGGAGTGAAACGCAGACACATATGGGCTCACAAATGTTTTCACACATAAGATTGTCAAGTCCCATCTCACCGAAGTGTCAGACAGCAGAGAAGATTTGGCCTCCATTTGCTTGAGCGTCGCTGTAGTTATTTGTGGTTTAAGTTGTTCGTATATAAACAGATACAGAAAATAGATATTTTTTTCTTTGACATATAAAACCACAAATGCTGGGTGTCTCAGACCAACTCAGATAAAATCTTAGTATTCCAGTCTTTCAATTTGTGAAATTGCAGGAAGTCATTTGCCAGTTTATGCTCATTAGCAATTTCCTTTAGCGGTATTAAGAAATTTTGTGGTTTTCTTTTGCATCCTGTTAGTTTTTTGTGGTGGCTTCTGCCACACAAGTTAAATCATTGTCCAGGAATGCCCTGAGGGCTGCTGAGGACCACTCACGGACAATGTGTGAAACCAACAGAGCGGAAAACAACAGGGCCTTCTGCACAGCAGGGTCAGCATGTAAGGATACCTCTGCTCAACATATTTCCTGTGGAGATTATTGTTATGTGCAAAAACTCCTGCTAGGAGACCAAATATTTTAGGGTACATGTCAAAATATGTAAAGAGTAAAAATACTCCTGATATCTCAAGATTAAACCCTTTTATTTAGTGATTGGTTCATGGATAATTTAATAATTTTTTGGTGAATACCACCCCCTGCTGTTCATACACCGCTACAAAACAGAAGTCAAAATTAACCAACAGTTAAAACGTGATGAAATTGTCTATCTGCAGCAAATTAGACAGCCATTTAGTGCCCTGTTAATTTGACCAACCATCTCAGCCATGGGCAAAAAATGAAAATCAATAAAATTTTAAAAGATAATTTATTAGTACAGTGATCATAAAAAAAAACAAAGATATAAAACAGTGCTATGACCCACTTACAAAAAGGGATAAAACACACAGTCCAAGGCCAGGACCAGCGATGCCACAAGTCAGTTACACTTCACACACCAACAACTTTAACAGGGAACAGCAGTTGTTCTACAAGACCCACCACCCTGTAAGTAGTAGGCTGGCAATCACCCCGACCTCAGCAAACCAACTCTGCCTTTAGGCTAGGGCATATAGTAGGCCTTGGCCTGCACACAGAGAAAAAATGTACTCAATTGCATCTTAATTGTATAATTCAGACGGCAGCAGACCAGAGTGTGAGTTTAATCAAATACACCTGCCTTAAATGAGCACAGCCCAATCATAGCCACTGGCTCACAACAACTGTGACACACAAAACCACTCTCAAACTAGGCCCATTTCCCACAGCAAATATAGACGTGAGGTAATATAAGCAATAGTCCACTATGTTACAGCCCACTGGGAGAGAAGAATAGAAAAATAAAATGTCCATCTGAAGAAGTACCACCACACAGTCAGTTACATGAATATTTAGACAATGATGTGTTTTGTTTGAGTATTGTAATTGGACACTGGGCTGATGAACAGTTTGATGGCCAGGTGAGGCACATTCCCTCATTATTCAAAGACAAATTAAATGGATAAATGATCTGGAGTTGATTCCAAATATTGGACTTGCATTTGATATCTTTTAACTGGAATGTTCAATATAAGGTTTAGAGAAATGCTGATGCAACAACAACAACAACAAAAAAGCCAAATAAACCTATCAGAGAGACAGCAAAAAGCAGCAAAAAGCAAACTCCACAGCATGGAAAACTGCGGGCAGATTGACGCACAAATAAGCAGAAACTGCAGGTGGCTGCAGTAAAGGCCTCGCTGAGCATCTCAAAGGAAAAAACGTACTTTGTGATGTCCATGGATTTTAAACTTCAGGTAGTCATTGACTCCAGATCAGTTTCAATCAGTTACGAAAACCAGTCCTTATAGTTAATTCTCCAATCACATTTAAGCCTCTAACAAGGGTGGGGAGGGTATGAAAATGGCTTTAATTCATAACAAGTTAATGCAGTGTTAAAACTCTAAAGATGAAAGACTCTGTGGTTTAAAATCAACTATGGTGAATTGTGTCAGTGTGCAAATCCTCATATGGATCTGTGTACTTACATGTAAGGTCAACTAATAATAGCAACGCCGACAATTCAAAACGGAAGCTTGTAGTGCTTGAGGAAATGTAGTCCACCTCTAGATGGCGCCAGTGTTCTCATTCAGTCAAAAGGATGGCGAAAGGAAGTGGCATCTGTTAGTAGCAATGACTGTGGAAAACACAACAGCAAAGAGGTGTTAACAGCTGAGCATGACTTTCCGAGTTTCTCTAGAAGACGGTTGGGTTATTATTTATTCATTCTTTAAATGCGTTTCCGGGCTTTGGCAAGTCAAAGGAAGATAAAAGTAACCCTGTATATGCCGCCAATATGCCAATGAGCTTTGCTGCAAGAGTGAGCTGCTACTGCTAGACATGATGACTTTGAATCAGCTGAAGACAGAAGATGTTAAAATCAGGTGATGTAGGTTCGGGTATTTTTCAGTCAAGTCTGTTATTAGAATCCAAAGAAAATGTCTTGGATTTTTCATTTTATGGTGAGCGGATGATATGGCTGACCAGGTCAACTTAAACTTAAAAATACAGCCTAATTCTCTGTATGATAGTCAATAATAATAACAATAATAATAATAATTATAAAAAGATTAAACAAATGTAAGAAAACAAAGTATAGAAAATTTATGATGGAGAGCCAAGAGAGGAACTGTGGTACTCTACTATATGAGGAAGTCAGGGGTGACAGAGAAGTACTGTAGTTGAGGGTGGTGCGGATCGTGCTTAATGACATATTGGTGAGGTGTGCATTTCATGATAAAATAGTTTAAGGGCATGCGATTACATCAGTGGTTGGTTCTTAGCCCCTGCTTGTTTGTAATGCTATATGGATAGATAGGTTAACAGATGGGTCTCGTTGGACAGATGACACTGTAATCAGTGAGAGTAGGGAGCAGGTGAAAGACAGCCTGAGATGTTGGACATAGTGGAGGTAGATCAGAATCAGAAGACTTTATTTATCCCCAAGGGGCAATTAACAAACAACAGAGCAGCATAACATTGAAGATAAGGACAATAAGAACAGGCAATATGAGTGAAATAATAAATACACAGAATATACAGTATATACAGTTTTAAAATTAAACTGACTGAAAAGTGAATAAAGTGTTGGTAGTAGAAGAGGGTAGTTTATGTTTCTGGTGTGGGAAATGATCTTATCGGCTGGAGTTAAAAAGCAGAGTGGCTTTGGGGACAAAGGTGGCTCTGCTCCTCTCAGTCCTGCAGGAAATGCAGCAGTGGTGTTGCCCAGAGGGGAGCCATTGAAATGCGGGTGAAGAATGTGAGAGATTTTGGCTTCCTGTCTACGGGCCTGTTGGCTGAAAACCTGTGCCAGAGTTCTGACAGGCAGGCCAATGATTTTAGAGCACACTGATGCAGTGTGCTGCAGTCTGTTCTTGTTCTGAAGGCTGAGGAAGTGAGTTTAAAGAATTTAAAGCAAGTGAGGTGAACAAAGGCAGTTTAAGTCGTTGGAGATCAGTGTCTTGGGTCATTTGTGACAGAAGGATAGCAGCAGGAGTAAAAGGGAAGGTTTTTAAGATGCTAGTGAGACCTACTGTGATGTATGGTTTTGAGATGGTGGCACTGACAAAAAAAAATATAGGAGACTGGAGGTAGCAGAGTTGAATTTACAAAGATTTTGGTTGGGAGTATCCAGAATGCACAAGATTAGAAATGAGTACTTTACAGGAACAACTCAGGTTGAGCAGTTTGGAGACAGAAGATAGTGAGGCAAGGCTGAGATGGTCTGGGCATGTACTATGGAGGCATCGTAGACATATCTTGGGCTATTTATGTTATAAATGGTGCTGCCAGGCAGGAGGAAAAGAGGAATATCATAGAGAATATTCATGGACATAGTGATGGAGCTCGGTGAGCTGATGTGGAGAAGCCTGGAGGGGGCAGCAGAAAGTAGAAGATAAGAAAATAAATAAAGGTTAGGTTCCAGATTTGGGAAACTCTTCTTTTCCCTTAATTTTTACACAAATAGTTGGCATCTACAGAGCACCCCCTGGTGCTCCTCCTTACCATTATTTATATATCAACTGCTGCAGAATTATGTATTTCTGTAGTGATCTGGAGTTGTAATGAAAGCCAAGGTGTGGATGTGTTTACTGTAGATTCTTCCTTGGTAGCAGCTTCCTTGGTTGAAAAGTGACTTGAGTAGTGTTAAATGCACTTGAGAAAGCAAAGAATGTAAAACAATATCATCTATTGAAATCATAATGTTATATTCTAGGTCTTTTGTTCACAAGGTGATTTAAAAATGCTATATGATGATTCAGCAATAAAGCATAAAATAGAAGCATGAAAATTAGCCATTGAGGAACTTGTGTAAATGAAAAGGATCTAAACTTCATCGGATTAATCCAGTGGGTTTTCCTATCTTACATTCTTTTTCTGACGCTATGCTTCGTGTGAAAAGAAGCCTTTGTTTACTTTTTCATTTTAAATTATGAGGCCAAGGTTTTCTGCTCACCGGCAATGCACCCGTTTCACTTTTTAAGCATGTCAAAGATTTTCATCTGTAGATGAAATCGTTTTGACTGTGCTGTGACTATCTCCACTTTTCATCTTTGTCTGTCTTACGTAAGTCTTAGTCCGAGGAGGTGAGCGGGGCTTCTCCGTGCACAACAAGAGCTGTATGCATCAACTTAACATATACCCATAATATCCAGTCTATGTAATATACAGATCCAATAGTAGGACAGTCAATGAGAAAGATCTGGGGTTCTAGGTATCATTTGTACATACAATGACCTCAATTTATTTATTTTTTTAAAAAAGGTCCCTAATAAATTATGTTACTTGCATTGACTTGCATTGGCACGAGCGAAGACACTGTGAGACACTGCAGCATAATCATTCTGTTTCCTTTTTAATGAGCAGCCCTGTAGCTAGAGAGTTTGTGCCAACTTTCTGTGCGTGTTTTGTCTTTGATGTCACGTCTTATTAAACGCTTTATGTCCGACCTTATTAGATACTATTTCTGTCATACTGTGCAAGGTTGTTCAGCCGTGGTGATTTGTTTCTGTACTGCGACATTCCTTTTCAGTATTGCAGTAGTTGTTAGCTTCACCTGGAGACGTTGCAGACCCTGGGTGAATAACTTAAACTTTCATTCAGTATGTGTCACTATGTAGAAATTCCCTGGTACCCAGGGAATTACAATAGTAAGGCAGTCAGGTTCTGGGTGTGTTGACTGACTGACTAAAAAGGCGAAAATAGTTTCCAGCAAATGTAGCTTAACAATGTAAATGGGTCTAATCTGTCTTACCTGAACTTTTCCTGCTGAGGCAATTTTGTGTTGAATTTCAGTGGTTTCATCCCAACCCAGGCTTTAGAGACAAAACTAGGCCTGGATCGTTGTACTATTTAAAAAAATCTTAATAAAAGCAACAACAACAGTAATAAGAATACGAGTTTTTCAGACATTGGGCTTTTAACATGTGTAATAATGTCTTTGTTCTAAAAAATCCCAACAAGGATGTCTGTGTTGGCAGCTTTTTGGTAAACGAGATAGGAATTCTCCCACGGAAACTAAAACAAGCCCCTTGCAGTCCCTTTTTGTGTGATCATTGATGTGGAATTTGGGAAGCTGGGATGGGGGTGGAGCGGAGAGAGATGTTATCACCACTTCAGCAGGTTTCTGTAGAATTCCCTGACTATCAATCCAGCATTTGTAGTGTAGTTAATTCACCTAATTGAAACTGCTACACCACGATGCACTCGTGTTGATAATTGTTGTTTACTTGTGGCTGAAACCTGTAATAAATAATACAAACTTCATTCAACCTGGCAGAGAGCACTGCTGTTCTCCGTTGAGATGAATGCCTCAAACATGTATGTTTTACCAAGAGCAGTTCTCCTGCACAGACGTCTCCTGGTTACTATATTAGCACGTGGAAGTCAAAGTGACGCTGCTGCCGTTCAAAAAGGCCATCGTTCTTGTGTTGGGATATATTGTACCAGGGGAAGGGGCTCAGATTTGACTGTTGCTACAGTCAGAGGATTTAGAGTCCGCAGGGATGAAGTAAACCTTTGCAATGGTGATGTCACTGGCATCACAAAGTTCAGTTGTAGCATTGATAAGTGAGAAAGCAAACAGAGAAACCGGTGAACAAGACTGCATTCACCAAACAGAACACAAAGCGACCTTTGCCTGGATAGGTAGATAAGTCCCCCTCATTCGCTCCCACTCTCCTGCTTTATATCGTTCCATGTTTAAATGTAGTGTTTACAAGGCATGACAAAAAGGAGTCTGAGTAGTGGGTTTCTGGCGTTACAGTGATTTTGAAAGCATATGAGACGTCCGCCGCGCCTGATATGGCCAAAGTGAAACAACATGATTTGTCATGTAGGTGGAGCTAGATGTAGATAATAGGAGGGTGAGTAAAAGGGACTAGAACGTGCAGTAAAGTATGAGGACTGAGGGCAGAGCTTCAGTGGTTTAGCACAGGGTGAGAGGGACACACAGAGGCTTGTTAATTTTACGGAAAAAGATAGTGAGCAAGCCACAGAGGCCAACACCACAGTGACAGAGAGAGGAAGTTTGATAATCAGTTTGAGGCATGACTTTGTAATTCTTTTTTCATTTGTTGGTTTCCTGAAACAGACATGAATAGTGATGGCAGCAAACAGCGTTTTGTGTCGACCTTTAAAATGCGCATCAAGGCCCCCGGTCCATCACCTGCATCTGAGAACGGGCCAGGAGTTGTCGGCACAAGGACCTCAGTAAAATGTACTGATGCAGGTAAGAGCTGCTTTCAAGAAGAAAACACACAACTGGTGACATTTATGGATGTCAGCGTTTGAACAGGCAAGTCTGAGCACGGCAGTGCTTCTTGATAACAAGTTGGCGACCATCCAGAGCGGACTCCAACATATTCTTTAATATTCACTTGTAAAAACAGATTGTTTGCCTAAACTAATAGCGCTCATGCATGCAACACAAACAGTTTGCTACACTTAAAATTAATATTCAGTTTCATGTTTATTTTGAGTTTAGCCGTCCAGTAGTGTGCTTGTTTATTGACTTGGAAGCCTTCCACTTTCATGTCAGCCCACAGCTGACATCTCATTTCCTATGTCCTCAAAATGTTGTTTTTTTGTTATAACCAGCAAGTCACATGTGCTGTATTTCTCATGGTCATTAGTTTGCTCTTCCATATTTCCATATATTATATGTCGCTGTTGCTTCCATGTCATCAATCTGTTGGGCAAATGGCAACTTTGTACAAAACCTTCAAAGTCAAAATCAAGTCAAAAGTTCAGGAACAGGCATGTCTTTGGCTGCTGTTCAAATCAAAGGTTTTAAAGAGTGTCAAGTGAAATATAGAGTTACTAAAATTAATCTTTCCACTAAACTAACAACACATACCAGCTATTTGATAAAATAGCTGCTATGAGCCACCTCTGAGCGTGTCTGTGTGCAGAAGTGTTGCTCAGAGTTGTTGCAGCATTCAGTTCCTTTTCAGAAACACCAGTGTGCTAACTGAACCATTCAGTACTGTAAACACTGGTTAAAGGTTCATAGAAAAGCACCGTTTTGTTAAATCATAACTAGTATGCTGTATATGGGTTTACAATGGGCAATAATATGTGGTTCTTCTTTCTAGGTTTCTAAGTTACACTGCCTAAGAAACGACCTGGGAGTCTGTAATGACATGAAATTGTGTATTACTACTTTATGCTCCATGTTTCAAGCAGTAATTCACCTTGGGGCAAATTAGGGTCCCTTGCTTAATTTAAACACTTTTTTGTTAAACTGTAACTAGTGTACTGTATATGGGCAAAAATGCAGTTCTAAGGGTAGATTACATAATTTAATACAATAAGACTTTGTCACTTTTGTATTAATTGTATTGTAATTCTGTATCTCCTCCAAATCCAGGGTCTAAACATCTGGATCCACCTGTCTTCATACAGCCTCTGGAGGACTGCTGTGTAGATGAAGGGACTGACATTAGGTTACGTGGAGTTCTCAAAGGAAGTCGACCGATCAAAATATCGTGGCTGCACAATGGTGAGAAGAGACAGTTTACAATGCATCTCAGTTTACACTGCATATACTTTTCAGCAGAGGGTGTGGTCAACCAAAGAACGCTAAAGAGCAGATAATTATTCAAAACAAACATGTTTTTGACTTTCCGTTTTTTATGCATTCAATTAAAAATGCCACATAGAGAATCAAGAAGCCAAAAGTAGCGCAAGAGCATGCTGATGGGTTGCTTGTTTACCTCACCTGTTGGCAGGTGAAGTGGCCCGTTTCGGGAAGGCTTCCTTCAATGGCAGGGAGGCCAGTTTTGTTGTGAGGGAGTGCTTACCAGAAGACGCCGGTGCCTACACCTGCTTGGCAGAAAGCAGCGCAGGGAAGACATCTTGCAGTGCTGCTGTGGTTGTAAGAGGTGAGCAACTGGGAACTCATGAAATATTCAGCTAATTGGACAATTTACCTCTTGCAACTTTAAGTCTACAATAAATGGAACGTTTAGTGTGTTCATTACTCAAAACAAAGCCAGAGTTTATTTCTGATGTAGTCTCTTCTCGTTTTTCTCTTCTGACCAAATTAGACTTTGAAAGTATCTGTGGCGTGCAGAATCGCGCTTTAAAGACTCCCACTTCTCCATCCAAAAGTGTAATGGGAAATGGAACGTTACCGCAGACTCCAAAAGATGAGCTACACAAATTCAAAGGATCTATTTGTATGTCTCCTACAGGCTCTGATAGGCAGAGCCCAGTCTCATCTCCAAAAGGTAAACCAGAATTATTTGATTAGACAGTGCTGGTTAATTTCTAGTCAAAAAACAAATGTAAATTAATTCCCATTTAATGAACTATAGTTAGCACAGATATAATGCAATTTCTTCTTTTCTCTTGCACACTGATCGGTTTCTTAGTATAGAAACAGTACTGATGTGTTTTGATGTACAATTTCTTAGTCTCTGTTTCAGTTTCTTCAGGAAATCCATGTTATGTTTATAAAAGGAAACGCACTTCCAGTCCTTGTGTGATTGGCCGTTAGGCAAAACATATATAACACAATTATGCAGCTCTCCGATACACCCACTGAAATTTCTCTGTACCAAGTATACACCATGTAGGGTAGTGGATAGAGCAAAGTACAGTAAAATAGTGCAAACTGATAGCCATAGATAGAAGAGCCACACCTCTATCCTTCTGGCTAAAACCTACCTGCACCTGATCTGTCTTTGCAGAAGTCGTCCCAAAGAAGCGAGCCAACTCAAGGATAGGTGAGAAAAACGCTCTTTTTTTTTTTTCTTTTTTTTTTCCCCACATACTGAGAAATTTACCCACCTCTCCAGCATCCATGTGCTTCTTATTAAGTGCTTGATAACTTCTTCTGTCTGCTGTTATTTTTCTTCTATGAAAAAATGTGACTTATTGTAGAGTTTGTTTGTGCGTAGGCGGATCTGTTGCTGGAGCTGTACTTTCTTCATGTCACCTTTGGTCTCATAATGCTCTCCTTACGCTTTAATGTGCTCCACTGAGTTGACTGAATCAACCTTAGGGTTTAGGCTGCAAAAGCAAATATGTGAAATACTCCCATAATGAGGTCTGGTTGTTTATTTTGAGAGCACAGGACATTTCATCATTTATTCATGGTTTTTATTTTTAGGAATGAAATATTGGCTTGTAATGGCAACAGCTTGTATTCAGAAGGTAAAACTGTGCACATTAAAGCCACTTAAACTTAATATTATCAGATCTACTTTAGTCAAATTCACCATTCTGACGCCACAAGATTTGAATATTGACAGCGAGAGAGATGACATGACTTCAGCTCATATATGGATTTTTTTGTGTGTGTATGCAGCACTAAAGCAGGGCAGATTATAATCACTGGATACTGTATAATGTATGGCTATAAAAACATTTTCTCTTTACTTCCTTTAAGGGTAAACAGCTGGGAATGTGTATTTCCAAAAAGCTGGTGAAATATTTCAACAAACTTGATCACACAAAGACTTGTTGTCCTTGTGGGCGATAGGTCATCTGTATTGCATTGTGTTTTCACTTGAGGCACAAGGTCCTGCTAAATACCATAATAAGAAGGGTATCAGTTAGCTATTTCTTAGTCTTTATCTCATGCTCACACACATTAGTTTTCAGGCATTCAGCAGATATTTTTAACCCTATTGTGAACTGAGGAAGTGCAGATGCTGCAGTTCACTTTAAGTCACTTTTCTCATCTTTTTTTTTTTTTTTTTAATTTGGCAGGCCGATCGTTATGTTTTGAAAACCCACCGCAGCACGTGGAGGTGAAGGTGGGACAAACCGCCAGGCTGACGTGTAGTTTTACTGGAAGCCCTCCTGTAGCATCTTGTTGGATCAGAAACAAAGAACAGGTGCAGCAATAAAAAGGATAAATAGCAAAAACAAGACATCTGCTTCTGCCATCTCAAATGTATTTGACTCCACATTATATCTATTTTTCCTGTTTTTCTGTGCAGATAGTGGACGGCCTAGAGCTAAGGACAGAAAATACTAATCGGAGTAGTACGCTGGTTATAGAAGAGGCTAAACCCCAGCACACAGGTCGCTACACCATTGTAGTAAAAGACCGAAAGAGCTCAGCAGAACACACAATCACCCTTTCTGTTATAGGTGAGTCTATTCTAAAGAGTCAGAACCAAATCAAGTAAAGCAGTTCCTTGGAGACTTATTTTAATCATCCTCCCACCAGAGAGACCACAACCTCCTGCCTCCAGTCCAGTGATCTCCCTTGTCTCCTCATCCAGTCTTGTGCTATCCTGGTCAGGCCCCTGCTATGATGGCGGCAGTGCCATCCTTGGTTATGTCGTTGAAGTAAATAACCAAGGAAGTGCTGAGCCTGAGGTTTGGAGAGAGCTAACAAGCGAGTGTAAGAGTACCTCATACAAAGTTTGTTCTGGGCTTCAGCCACAACAGGAACACTGCTTCAGAGTAAAGGCCTATAACGTAGTAGGACTAAGCGAGCCAGGCCCAGTGTCACCAGTGGTGAGAATGGAGGAAAGAGGTGAGGTGATTTTGACAGCACATTTGTAATAAAGGCAGGTATAATAAGCATTAGTTTAAAGCTGTTGTGGCTGTGTGCATACATTTAGACAAGATAAAAGAAGAAGAAGCCCCTCAGATGTATACCACTGTGTCTGTTGACTCTTCCCACAAAGTTACGGAACACTACGATATGCAGGAGAAACTTGGAATGTGAGTATCAGATATGTCAAATCCCAATTTTCCAATAATAATCTTTCCAAGTAGAAACAAGAAGTTTGTCAGAAACTATAATTATGACAAGTTGAGAACATTTTTGACATTTCCAATTCCAAGGAAGTGTGTGAGTGGGAATTCCAGGTTGTAATTCTGCCAAGAATATTAAAATGCTTTCAAGTAGAGGCATGCATTCCAGCTTGAAAACACCTGTAGTCGTGTTTTATCCATGACAAGGAATGTACGGTGACGTTACCGTATTAGTGATAGGTGAACAAGAATCAGATGGAAATCAGCCATTAACATGAACTACTTATTGTGATAGGCCATGATGGTGTAACCATTAACTATTCATTCCTAATATCCAGAGATAGAAATGACTAAACTTTCTTCATAAGGGGAAAATTTGGGATGGTGTACAAGCTCATCCACAAAGAGACAGGACGTGTGTGCGCTGGGAAGTTCTACAAAGGACGCCGTGCCAAGGAGAGGGAAGCCGCTCGTAAGGAAATAGAGCTGATGAATTACCTCCACCACCCCAAACTGGTTCAGTGTCTGGCAGCATATGATCACAAGTCTGAAATGGTCATGGTGATGGAGTTGTAAGTATCCTTATCAGAGCAAAAGGCAAAGCAAAATTCCTAGTATTTTCTGGTGTGTCACTGCTGTTTTGTTTGTCTGCAGTATTGCAGGTGGCGAACTCTTTGAACGTATTGTGGATGACAACTTTGAGCACACGGAGCCTTCAAGTGTGCACTACATGCAGCAGATCCTGGAGGGGATTGCCTACATGCATCAGCAAAACATTATCCATCTGGACCTCAAACCTGAAAACATCGTATGTGTTGACACCACAGGCACCTCCATAAAGATCATCGACTTTGGCTTAGCCAGTAGAATAGGTATGTGGAACAATACTCTACTTTTATGCTTGTCTACCTCGTGTGCGTCGTAATACCTACATTATGGGATTTCCATTGAACAGATCAAAACACACCTCTGAAAGTGATGCACGGGACTCCAGAATTTGTGGCCCCGGAAGTGATCAACTATGAGCCTGTGGGTTTGGGGACTGATATGTGGAGCATTGGGGTGATCTGCTACATACTGTGAGTCTAACTGTCTCTTTCTATATTCAAGAGATAGTTTAGTATTTTTCAAACAAGATTTTTGTCTTAAAATTCTTTAGCTCATACAATCAAAACTGAAATTTAGAGTTTTAGCCTTATTGTGCCACCTAGTGGGTATAGATTGAAACCACATGTAAAGGATGTATATTCAACACTAATCTTCTCCACTTTTTTTCTGTGGTTTCCAGGCTCAGTGGGGAATCTCCGTTCCAGGGAAACAGTGATGCAGAGACCCTGGCCTTGGTCACAGCTGCTCAGTGGGAGTTTGACGAGGAGAGCTTTGACGAGATAACAGAGGAGGCTAAAAATTTCATAAGCTCCCTGCTCAGCAAAGACCCGAGGTGATTTCATAGATTTACAACTATAAAGTACCCTACTTTACCTCCTTACTTAACCATCTGTAACTGTAATTGTTGATCAGGCGTAGGATGACCTGTGAACAGGCCCTTGCCCATCCCTGGATGGCTGCATTTAAGTCTAAAGAGCTCACTCTCACCAAGAGTCTGTCCAAAGAGAAGATGAAGAGGTTTTTGGCTAGACAGAAGTGGAAGGTAAGCACCAAATTACTCTTTTTATTTATTTATTTATTTATTTATTTATTTATTTATTTATTTATAATTTAAAATGTACATTTTGTTCTCATACACATTTGTCTCATAGAAAGCTGGCAAGGCCATGTTAGCACTGAAGAGAATGGCTCTGCTCTCTAAGGCGGAAGGCTCTGCATCTCCTACAACTCCTGGAGGAGGTGAAAATCTTGCATACCTTTACTCATCACATTGCACGCATTTTGGTTTAGTGGGTTTCCCATCTTATTGATATATATCTCCTAGAATCACCCCTGAGCCCAGAGGCAGAGGAAGCGTTGACCTCCCTGGAGCTTAAGCTACAGGAACCCCCGGTGTTCACAAAGAGGTTGAAAGACCGGACTGTAACTCAGGGATCCAGTGCCCGTCTCTCGTGTCACCTCACAGGTACAAAACAACTTCTTATCTTGGATTCAAGTCAGACTTACTGTAGCAGGCTTGAAAATTCAATCTTGAACATGTAAAAACATCTTTTCTTTGATAGCGTTTCAAAAGTTTTGTGTATGACAGCACCTCTTCTATTATATTATCAGACATGATCTCACATTTCTGTTTATCTTGCCAGGTTACCCTGACCCGGAGGTGCTGTGGCTGTGTGGTGATGAGCCTATTGAGGAGTCCCCCACTGTGCAAATAGAGTATGAGGAAGATGGCCAGTGTACGCTGGTTCTAGCCAAAGTTGGCCCAGAGGACGGCAATGTGTATACCTGTAGGGCCACTAATGACCACGGGGAAGCATTTTGCTCAGCCAAATTAACTGTCCAAAAATAGATTCATCATATCATAGACCAGCTGTGTTGTACATTGTTGTTTGTGGCTTCTGATGAGTCAAATAAATATTGTTACAGAGTTACGTGCATAGATTTATATTTTTATGGCATTCAGATATGGCTTCCACGCTGTGTTGAAAATGATGTTTTTACGTAAAACCATGAATCTGTCTGTTATATTGGCTCATTGTGAAGATTCCCCTTCAGCCCTATCAGTTTGTAATTGCGATTTCCATTCTGAAAAGCAGGCGGGTCTGAAAATATCCTGATTAATTTGCATTGTGAACATTCAAATTGCAATTCCAAAGCGTCCCATTAAAAAAAACTTACAATAAATGTTATTTATAGCCTAAGCCTAATTCAATGCTTAGTGCCAAAGAGCTTTATTTTTGTTTCTAAATTAAACCACTCTTGCACAAAATCTCATGTTCTTTTAGTGAAATGCACCTAGATAGGTTTATTTTGACAGGGTCCAACATACTCCTACATAGTACATACACACCTCCTACTGTTGTAAATACTGCATTTCTTCACACACAAACATTAGTAGACCAAATAAACAGATGGAAATATCCCCCGGTAAACACTATCCTTAGTCTCAGCATGCAGTTTGATATCTGAAAACATAAATGACAGTAACAGTTTTTGCTGTTTGTGTGAGTTAGCTCTGTGTTCGACCTCAGGAAATGTGTCCATAACAAATATATTTTGTCAAAATCTTTTTGTCTCTGTCTGCTGGTTGAATTTCAAACAATACCATCAGGACCTTCAGCCCGACACTTCGGTAAAGCCATCCACCTGCTTTACTAAAATATAGAGTATTTGTGAATTTAACTCGTGTTTGTCATGGTTATATTTACTTGATACCTGCCTCACAACCCAAATAAACGGATACCAATGTAGGTCTGATTCTTTGTTTTTTCACTCTCACGCTGTAAAATCACATTGTGGTAACGGAGCTTTATTTACGGACTGCAACCAGGGTGAGGGAGTCTAATTAACACAGGTGGTTTGTCCTTTTCTGGAGCAGTGTGCTAAAATATGCATCATAAAGGAAACTAATTGGGTTGTATGTTGCTGAGGTTTAAATTGGCCTGAAGAAAAAGAGTTTGCACTCTCACCAGTTGGGTGTTTAAAGTTTGTGGTTTGGGTTTAATTTGCTGGTTTGTCAATAATGAATATTGTTCACCACATTTCAACTGCATGCACTCTGCTCTGTCCTGAGGGGAATCCATGCCTGACAGACTCTTCTGCTGCGTAGATGTACAAAGGAGCTCCCACCCCCTCCCTCCCCAAAGCACAAATTTAATAGACTTTGGAGGCGGGGCTTTCTTCTCTTTTAATTCCATTGCTATTCTAGTGTGCTGTAATCAGATTTTTGTTTGTTTTGTTAAAATAAGAAAAAGAAAAAAATAAGGAGATGGCCACTGCACATGAAAAACTCTTTTCCCCCCTGACAGACAGATGTTATAAATACAAAGTCTCAAAGTGTCACTGAACTGTGGCAAATGTCACAGAGGAAAAAGGGGAGGGACCTCGGTTAGTGAATAACCACGAAGCGATCTTTTCTGTTTTGGTTCAAGGCGGTGACATGAGACAAGTGCACATCTCATTTAATGCTATAAACTATACATAAAGGCTAGCTTTAAATTAATTAATTATTTGAATACATGTTGATATAAATAAGTGTCTTTTACATACAGTCTATGTTCCATGCTAGTGTCTGAGTGCAGAGACAAGTTGGTTCTTTTTGTTGCTGCTGTTGTTGTTTTTCTTTTTGATGTACAGCTTGGTGTTTTTGCTGTCAGTTCAAAATGTGTGAGATTTTTTTTTTAGGAAGGCTGATCAATGCACGAGGTGTTTTAAGGGGGTTGAGGATTTTTTTTTACACTCTATGATGATCTCAGTGTTTGCCAGCAGATGGAGACACTGCACTGAACACAGCTGGATGTTGCCCTCTAAACGCAACACCACGTAAAATGAGTACAAAGAAGAAATTTTCAGAGAAAGTATCTACGCATCCTGACACCGTCTGTTAGATCCTGATCAAAAATTGTATTCAATTAAAAGCAATATTTTGACTTAATATTCTGATAGTTGTAGTGGATTCCGTTTTTAAAGAGCTCGTATGTGTTCAGATCGGAAAGTTTCATGCTGTTGTCTTTTGTAATGAAGTTATCAGATTCATGATAAAATATTTATTAACTCTGTCAGCTGTTTGGTGAGATAACAGAGTCCGTTTATCAATAATGACTAATGAATGATGTCACTATAGTTCACGATGAATCACACAGACCAGAAAATATGCTGAAATCACAAAGGGAACTGCAGAAACCCACTAAAGGATGAATGGTATATTTTTACACAGTTAAATGTTATATGTGCTACTGGATCAGTGCTTCTGTGAAGGTTCTCGGTCATCTAAGGAGCGTGGAAAGAAACGAGTTTGGACTTCAAGTTTTTTGAAGATGTTTCACTTCTCAACCAAGAAGCTTCCTCGGTTCTAAGACCAATTGGTGGAGAGTCCCAAATTTAAACCCTATTGGCGGTGTCCTTTAAGAGGGTCGTTGACCCACTGTTGATCATCTGCTCAATCACATAAGCCAAGGTGTGAAAACGGGTGTGGGTCACCAAACGTTGATTCTGTTCATCTGGACATAGCGTTTTCAGTGGGAGACGTTTCTCCCACTGAAAACGCTATGTCCAGATGAACAGAATCAAGTTTTAGAGATTTACTTATCTGGATGATTGAGAATGCATCAAGACGGGTGTGGGTCACTAACAGCCAAGGTTTCGGGTGAACCCATGAGTCCTTGCTCCACCACCCTATACTGGGACTTACTGAGATTTAATGACCCAAGATGTGAGCAGGTTCGAATCTGACTGATTTAAAACTTGAAACACTCATTTATTTTTACATCTGATTGCCTCAAAGCCTTATGACATCCTCCACACTATGAAATTGAACATATAAAAGTGATGATGACCTCTTTCGCTGAATTTTGAGTGTTTTAATCAACCGTTTTCAATCTGTTGTGGTCCCAGTCAAAAGTGACCACCACAGGAAAGTAATGGGAAACTTGAAGTCCAGTGGCTTTTCTTTCCAAGCGCCTTAGATTACTGGATCAGTAGCTCCCCATGATCAAAGTGAATAACACAGAAATGTTCAGTAAGAAAGCCTTTAATTTTTTATTTATATAAAAACAAAAAAAAAAAAAAAACAACAACAAAAAAAAAAAAACAAGGAGGACAAGAAAAATTAAATATATTACAATTACAAGACATTTCTAAATATTCACTCACACACACACACACACACACACACACACACACA